CAATAGTTTCGAAAACTTTGAATAACATCCAAAACTCCCCAAAAAAACCCAATGTTTTCCAGATTTCTACCGTACCTCTCCCCTTCCAATTATCTACAGTAACCAGTGTACTATTGCGGATTGGAATAGTGTTGAGACCCATTCCATAAGTACCTCATTATGGAGTTCAATGTCCAGAAAATTATGGATGGCTTTGGACTTGTCCAGAGAGGTAATTTTTGGTTTTTTTCTAAAAAATCTTAATTTCAAAATTTTTCGCATATTTCAAAATGTATTTCTACGAAATTTTAGCTTTCTAGCCCCATTTTCAGCTGAGTTACTGGCCTTTGAAGTTGGCAGCGCCGAGAGAGTGTGAGGAAGGGAGAGGGCGCAGGCGAGGAGAGTGTCTGCGCCCTCCACTCTCTCGCCGGACACTTCAAACGGCTGTAACTCAGCTCAAAGTAACGATAAAAAGCTGAAATTTTGTGAGAATATGTTTTGAAATATGCCAAATAATATGTGATTTTCAAATTGGAAACATATCGAAAAAAGTTTTTGTTAATTTTTTTTTAAATCTGAACCTGTTGAAAATTTTTGCACAGAATTATTTAGCATATTTCAAAATGTATAACTATAAAGTTTCAGCCTTCTAGCCCAATTTTCAGCTAAGATACAGTCATTTAAAGAGTGGGGTGAGATAGTGTGCGGAAGGGGGAGAGCGCAGGCAACGAGAATGTGTGGGACCTCCGCCTTCCTCACACTGTCTCGTTAGAACTTAAAAGGACTGTAACTCAGCTCAAAGTGGTGCTAGAGAGCTGAAATTTTGTAAAGATACATTTTGAAATATGGCAAAAATTTCAGAAAAAAAAGTTTTAAAAAAATATTCAAAAAAACATTTTTTTTAATTTCAAAGTTTTTCAGAACAGTCAAAACTACACTCAATTATCGTTAATTGGTGCTTATGTTTATCCCACCTACATTTCAATCACAATAAATTCACAATCAATGGTCAAACAGCCGGTATACTGTAGATATTACGATTGTCAAAGGAATGAACTTTTGGGGTCGCACTGGAAAAGTACAGTATTCCCAGAATCTGTAGTTCATTGTCCAAGAAGGATAGGGGCCGAGTTTGTGTCAATTTCAAGGGAGATGGATGACAGAGCACCAACTCCAATGAGACTCAAGTTTCGAATTTTTGATAGTAAGTGTTTTTTGTGGAAAGAATGTTTTGAATGTTTTCAAACACCAAAGTTTTTGCCATATTTCAAAATGTAGTCTTACAAAATTTCAGCTTTCTATCTCTATTTTTAGCTGAGTTACAGCACTTTGAATAGCGCGCGAATTAGTATGTAGAGCGAGGGAAACATTTTCCTATATTTCTGTAAAAAAATCTTTTTTCTAGCTGCTCTGGGAGCCGAGATACGTTAAATTGAAGTTTTGGAGGCGAGAGAGTGAGGAG